GAGAGAGAGAGAGAGAGAGAGAGAGAGAGAGAGAGAGAGAGAGAGAGTTTGTTTGGGATATTGTTTCGTTTTTGTTCATCCCGCTTTTGTTAAAAACTTTGCAAGATGTGTGCTTTTCTGCTATTTTTTTCGCTGTTGTTTCGCTGCCGCTTTTTGTGTGGCAAAAGCAATGGATTTCTTTCGTTTCCAAGTTGATTCAATCTAGCCGTAATTCGGAGAGGATAAAGAAAAATATAATGTTGTGTTAGAAAAAGCAGCGCCGTGTCGCCGAAATGTCGCAATTTATCATGCGTACGGAATATATGGACTTTTACCATTTCAAGTCAATGCTACAATCGTAACGCAGCCGATGAAATAAAGAGAGTAACAAACACAGTACGGGAAGAAAAATGCTCGAGGAGAAGTGACACAAAACACCACATCAGTACTTCGGCTCAACGAATGGAATTAAAGTGTAAAAAAATCAACTAGAAAACTGGAATGAGGCAAATGAAAGAGAGAGAGAAAAAAACACAACGCGTAAAAAATACAACTCGGAAATAAAACGCAAAGTTTGCAGATAATAAATTGTGTGCAATCAGGATTAATATCGATCAAATCCAAAGTATTTTTTTTGTTCGTTGTCAGTGTGTTGCTGATTTTGGTTGCAATGCAGTCCGCGACGCGTGGCTGAAAAGAGATTCCAACAATATCAGCCATCGTGTGCGCTCGCTGGTTTTTGCCTGCACTATCAAGTGTTTTGGCGGGGTGTTTTAATCAATCTTTCGCACATTTTCGCCACAATCGAATCATTTTTCATTGCACAATGCTCAACGATAATTTATGCGTTCGTCAACAGAAAACAACGTGGAAGAGCATCCAGCCCCGTCCACCCATTTAAAATACTAAACACGATTTTCAATGTGGAAATAAAATAAATTCGATGGCAGATACTTAGATCGAGAGTGGGAGGTGCAAAAGGAAATGCTACTTGCTGAACTTTAAATGAACTTCCATTCAAATAATAATTGACACGTCGAAACGATGAATGGGGACAACAGAGACAAAAGCGGATTGAACTGAAAAAGACGCAAAGAAGTAACATGTCTCGCAATCAATCAATCACTCGATGTACTTTTAATGAACCGCACCACACACAAACATTTATCGCTGCGTTGATGTGCCGTGCACTCACTTCTTCGATACCATTCATTCGTTTCTGTTCGACAATCACACACCATTACCATAAAACTGCTGCTGATGCTACATAAACCTAACACTCTGTTCCATTAAAAATTCAGTGAGACACACTCACGACCACCAACACACGAATACACAGCCCAACGATTCCAATTCAAAATGCGGGAATAATTGAGCAAGTGTCACACAATTTTCGGGTGAAAATTCCAGTGTCAGCGAAAATCGAATGTGTAACTTCGGTTGTTTTCCCTGTAAAAATGGAAAGAGAGCGCTCTTTGTAGTTTATAAAAAGAATCCCCTCTTCAATCACTCAATGACTGAAAGTTTGAGCAATCAAAACGAAAGCAATTTTTCTTTTTATTTTCCTTTTCTCTTTTGGACGCTTTGTAAATATATTTGCGAATTTTGAAAACACATTTGTAAAATTCACTACACCTGAAATTGTCTCGAGTCGAGTTTTCCTTTGCTTTTATCGCTTTTTGACAACATAAAAGCTTCGAGCATAGGATAAACACAGTAGAACAATAATAACCAAAAAGAAAGTACAAATCACGAAATGTTGTGGGTTGTGGACTACTTACCGCTTCTATGTGTATCGGATGCACAGCAAACAAAAGGGCAGCTACAAAGCTAGTTACGTCACTGAAAAATATAGTGCACATTCTGTTGGGGTGAAAGAGAACAAAAAGTGATTTTGAATTAGCAAATGAAATGATGCACAATGAATTCGATAACAATGAAAACGGAAGACATGAAAATGAAATGAATGTTGATATGGGAGTGCGCATCGCGCGCGCACACACCACAAAAAAAAAAGAAACAAACAAACAAAAAAATACCGAGAAGAAATTAACATTGGCGAAATGTACGATGTCGTCGTCGTCATCGTCGGCCGGAAGCGAAAAATCGCACCAAGTGAAAGAGAGCGAGAACGAGAATAACAGTAGAGTTTATGCAAATCACTGAGACATAAATAAGCTCAGTTATATTGAATATTTATTGCATTTGGGTCTTTCATGTGCATTGACGTTCATTCGTTTCGTCTCTGTCATTCGCACTCGTTTGCACGGTTGGTTTGCGGTGCGATGTGGATGCATGAATTGGTGCGTTGGTATCGTGCGCGCAATGGTCGAAACTAACGTCTCGTAAGAAATTCATATTAAGGTGGTAAAATTATTATTATTCGCACGTGTTCCTTTTAACCATCCCATCGTTTAGGCGGGCGCGCATTTTTAACGCTTCACTACCTCTACCGACACATTACTAACGCGTCGCAATATTTATGATAGCAAACTGAGTGGCGCGCGCTCGCCAGCAAGAGAATGAATTCGTGTGACATGAGATCACAAACGATGATTGCTGCTTATAACACACAGACACACATACGCCCAACACAAAAGATGATAATTCGTTGATTTACTTTTTATTTTCTTTGACTCATAAAGAAAATACTTATTTGCTTATTCTCGCCTCACATCCGGATGAGCTCACACAAACACCCTCAGCCAGATATCTTTTCATTCGATTAATCTATAGTGTGCTGCGCTTTCGTCTTTTAATTTTATCAACAACGAAGAAGACACACACACACACACACCAACAAAAAAATGTTTGCATTTTTTTGTTCCGTTCTTGTTTCCTCTACTGGCCTTTTTCTTGGTTGGCAGAAAAACAGTTCTACGCATTCGGCGAAATGCCGAATCAGATCTATCTAATGTTTTATACATTTATTTGTTCACTCTCTGAATGAGTAAACATCATTTTCGATTCTTTGTGCTGCTGGCCGTGCTGTTCGCGTTTTGCTCATAGTTGTCCCTAACAAATGCACAGCATAAATTATTCGAAATTGTACCAATTTCGCATCTTTGCATAATAGCGACCAATGCTCGTATCCGCATTCTCCTTGCATGCGAATTGCTTTTTCTTTCTTCTCTCGCTCGCCATGTGTATGCTGTTCTATTCAACTTTTTCCATTTTTTTTTCTTCGTATATTTGCCACCGTATCAGTATTAATGGCACAAAAGTCAATAAATCGCGTGACGCCGGTGATGAGGGTGCTGAGGAGAGTGCGACGAGAAGAACAAAAAAAAAAACGCCGAGCACAAACCGATTCGCATACACAAAGAGAGAAAGCGAAAAGTAGAGAAAGAAAAAAAAACAACCGACCGACTGTCGATGATTCAACTACATCGCCAACACCAATAATAACATCCATAATAATATAAGTCATAATCATGGCACTCGATTTATATGTATGAAATAATCTTTCTTCATCGGCGATGCGAAACGATTCTTCTGTTATGTCTCTACTTTTGCTTGTTAATGTGCACGATGCCACATCGATGCCGCACGAATGTGATCAAGGGGGCGCAGAGAGAGTAGAAGGGCATGATGAAAATGGCAAGCGAAAAGGAAGAAATAGAAACGAAAGAGCAGCATAGAGTGATAAGACCGGCGGTCGATAGAGAGAGAATAAGCGAGTAAACATCAACAGCAGCAGTCGGGCATGATCCCCGTCTTTCTTCTTGAATGAATGGCAATGGCAATTGTGACGGTGTTCAAGTGTTGGCTGGCGCGATAGAGGAATTTATGTACACTGGATATCAACAGTGCGACAGATATTCCTTTGCATTGCCATACACATGTAGAGATAGTGCAAGAGATATTTTCAGTTTTTGTGTGTGTTCAGGGTTGCTGTCGTTTGTTCTCTTTTGTTCCAATATTCCGGAAGTGGAACGTGAAATATGCGAAATTTGTGATGACAGCAATAATAATACATAAAAAAACAATAATCATCGTTCGATTTTACATTATGTAGGACAATCGATGTTACGTAAAAAATGGACTTTTTCTGTTTTTTCTTCCTCTCACTCTCTCTCTCTCTCTCTCTCTCTCTCTCTCTCTCTCTCTCTCTCTCGCTGTCTTCGCCCATTGGTTGTCCTCTACTCGACGTTTTTGTTTTCTATATTCCGGGCGATAGAGATCACGGAGATGGAACAACCGGCCTATGTTTATATACACTCGAAGTGTTCAATCAGTGGAAAGCCAAAACTTTCTTCATTTTTTTATCTTCGTCATTTGATACATCAGAAAGAAGAAAAAACGAAGAGCCTATCTATTATAGCAATTGGAGGGCCATTTAATATTTCCTCCATAATTTGAGTGGAAGAAATAAAGAATGGTGTCGACACGATGGAAATCACAAGCGTGAAGCACATGCTTGGAATATTTTCGTTCCACTTCGATGGGATATTTATGATAACGGATATCACAGATAAAGTGACAAATATTCTCACTTTTACGCGTTCACTTGAGCCTCAAAACACTATAAGCAACGGTTGAATCAAATGCGCAATTGCAATTAATTTTTTTCTGTTCTGTTTTATTCGCGTTCTTTCTTCGCTCCTCCCCCCCCTCCATTTAATTGCTTTGCCATCATTAATTCAATACTCGGATGGATCGAATGGACACATTATCAACGCAAGTCAATTTCGTGCCACGCTTCAAAGAACTGTTTTTTTTTAATTGAAAGAACTATAACAATAGGGTGTCCTTAATTATTCTTATTTAATCTGTTTTTATTTTGAATTGACTTTAAAATAGCATAGACATTTTCAATATAAATCCGTTCTTGCGAAGCGTAAACGTCATAGTCATTCATTTGAAAAGGTTCTTGTATGGTCCTAGCCACACAAAACGATACATAATTGATCGATTTCTTTTTTTGTAAGTTTCGAATGTTTCGAAACCGAACAAAAAATCGTTCAAGTTACGACTTTATCAATTTTTGTGATTAGTCAAGCCGACACTACAGGTACTGCGTATCTGTCGTACAGATACATTTTCCATTCCATGGCCTGAATGCGTAATATCCATAAAGGATTTTCCGAGCCTAGTGGCAATCAAACACTCACCACTCAGGTATGTGCGTGTGTGTATATAAAAAACGTTGAAACCCATCACAAAGTTTCTCTTTTCTCGGCTCAGTGTAGTATATGCGGGAGAGAGATGTGTGGTGTGTGTGTGTGGTGTTAGATCCATTTTACCACATATATCTCGCACAGTCCACAACATATTTATTTATTTAACTACATTCGTAATAATCAATCGGTTGGATATTCGATTTGAAAACTTTCACAAAATTATATGGATCATCCCATCGAATCAAGTGGTGGGTCTTATAACCTTATACCGAATATTTAAACTGAAGACGATGAAAAAAAGACATGAAATAAAATGAAACTAATAATTATATATCAATGATGACGAGATATTTCCCAAGAAAGAACACTCCAAGAATTTAACTCATTTAATGTTTTATTTAAAGGTCACGACTATTGAAAGTACTAAATTGAACTTACCTGAAATATAACAACGATACAACTAGATGCAGTAATATGTTAACTAAATGATAACCGTATGGCTCTAGCCCATGAATTAAATAATTCCAACGAAATGTGAGCACACACAACGGTCGATATGATTTGTGGCTTTGTTCCTGCAAAATAGATAGAAAAAGGGAAATTGAACAGATTAAAAAACACACACACACACACACACATAAACAGATGAATATAGATAAAAAATATGGTGTATAAATTATTATCCGAACGAATCAGGGCAACTATAATGGTTGACGAGACTATTTCATAAAATAGAGCAAAAAAATAGAACGTGAACAATGTCTGTTGTGTATGTAAATGATGTAAAAATCGACATAACTACAATGTAGCAAATGAAATGGCATCCAAATGGTGGATTTCATATCAGTGATATGATATTGGCTCTATCACACTGTTTTCAACTATAACCTTTTCGCTGGATCGAGTTGAAAGTTAAATTAGATGTGACCCTAAAATTACAATTCAAACCAAATGTAAAACCACTTTGGCTGCTTTCCTCCTGTTTCTCCGCCCCTTGTTTCTATGTGGGTTCCCCTCATTTTGGAACATGTAACACTTCTTATCCATTAGTGATAACGATGCGATTGTATTCGCCGTTCACAATTCGCCCGATTACGATACGTCTATATGTAAATTATCGTTGCTCTTGAATCTTCGTTGCGATTGCTGCATTTTAAGCTTTTTAATATTGCATCATGCAGTTCAGTGCATAAATTAGCGCGGCTCTTTATCAATTACGGCATTTTAATTCCACATTTTAGCGAAAATTCGCGCCAATTTAAGCTCGCACATACATTTTTGATCGCTCGATGGTAAACGGATTCAACCAAAAATGTTTTACGTCAATTTGCATAACCGCATATTTATTATGCATAGCACAAGCCGATTGGAAATGAGATGATAAAAAGCTTATACAATTTAATAAAATCGAAAACCAATCTGAAAATCACTTGAAAATCTCCTCCATCTCCCTCACTCTCGTCCTCATCGCATCCTCCCATTGCCACTGCCGCTTCTGCTACTGTGGCTTGAACGATTTGCACTTGTGTGTGCGCTGGTGTACAAGCGAGCACCCACAATCATGATGCCAGCGAAGCGAACATCACATAGATGTGAAACTTAATGCGTCGCACTCTTTTTATTTCCAGACCGAATATTTGCTGGAAATTCGTAAAATATTGGATTGAGTAGCACTTCATCTTCACCGCCATCATCAACCAAATTTATTGAACCGCATCATGCCGGTACAAGCTTTGCGTTGCTAACGATCTATACGATGTATATCGAAAACTACCAGCAAACTTTAATAACCTTTGTTTACTCTCATTTTAATCTTTGCTAATTGAATGTCTGCCGAACAACATTTCAAGTTAGCTTGAAGCCAAACTCGAACATTCTCTCGGTCTCTATTCAGAAGCGTTGCGTTGGATTTGGCGAAAAAGCATTCGATCATTTTCTTAGTATGCGTCATATAGGCACTTGTTCAACTTCGGAAGACGAAGCAATTTTCTCTCTCTCCCTCCCGTTCCATTGTCGTTCCTTTGAATTGAATTGCACGACTTTCTATATTTGGCGAAAAATTGATTCGCATGCTGAAGATTATAAATTGGAAATCATTGTCGCGTTTTTAATTCGCCCAACAGGAGCATTCGAACGTCAATTTTCTATTTTTTGTGTTTCCTCTTGCGACTCATTCTTTTTGCCAGTACGACAGTGACGGTGATGTCATTTATTCTCAATTATCAAATCTACGGCAATTGGATATGCTCTTTGTTTGTTCACTTGAAAAAGCTTTTAGCAAAAAAACGCACTTTCGAGCATTTCACCGATACGGCAGACGAATTAAACAACAAAATACACATACACACGTCAGACATAGGCAAAACGAAGAAAAACGAAACCATTTATGTAAATTGATGCTTTCAACTTGTTTGTTGTTGTTGTTGTCGAAGTATTGAGTGTATTCACTTCCAATTCTAATTGAATTTCAACGAAGACACATCAAAACTGTGCAATTTTTGTGCCTTTGAAAAAGAAAGTTTATTCTAATTTGTCCGCCGGTGCTCTTACGATTGTGACATTATGATGCGAAATCAAAATGTCAATCATAATATATTCAGGGTACTTTTCTCTACGGACGAATGTATTCAGAAACAATTTTGATGTGCCATTTAAAATTTGCATTGGTCTTTTTATGATTTTTATTGATTTTTATTGATGAAATAAATTATAAGATGAAATGGTAAACTCTGAACATTCTATTGAAAGCGGATTATTCCTGAGCAGTTCATTTATGACAACAAAAAATCACACATCAAAATCCGAAATTTAAATGAATTTAAATGAAACGAGAAAAAATGCAAACAGAAAAATGGCACCGTCCTGATGTGTTGTCAATTAGTATTGGAAAACAATGACTTCAAGAAATTTGATGCGAATGGAAAACGCGCCGAAAAACTGCTACCAAATGTGTTTTTTGTGCTCGTCTCTGTAAATAAGTTACATTTGATGAAGCACTTCAAATTGCATGCAAATTGTATACCGGGGAGGGCAAAAATGATTGGGCAGTATCGTTTCGTTTGTTGAGTAGTCAATTTGACTGTCGCATTGGCGCATTTATGCACAAAATCCAACATTCGGTAGAAATCCGCATATATTCCAGTGTATATGTGTTTGTGAAAATCTGGAGCACTTAAAATGATATTCAGACACGGGTCTGAAGAGCCTTTAGCCGTGTGAAGCGCAAAGAGAGAGAGAGAGAGAGGGAGAGAGAGGGAGAGAGAATGGAACACAGCCAACCGTAAATGTCCAATGAATCTATGTATTTGCTGACCCAATTGTCAAATTTAATGGAGTCGATTAATGTGCTGATTTTTAACTGTGTGACAGGCAGCATTTATGGTATGACCACTTCGAATGAATATATGTGGTTGATATATGTATGCTCTGCTATACGGCTGCTATTTTATGCCATAAATATTTATGTCTTGAGGCACATTTTGGGCACTTTTTAACTGTCAATAAACTGAATGCCATTGTCGTGTGGTGTTGTCCACGCTCTCGTTTATAATGAGCATTGAATTACGGTAGCATTGAAGTATGGATAGTGATAAATTGAATGGTTTGGAGCGAAAATGTAATACAGAAAATTTGAGCGGAAAAATGTTGATGATGAATGAGCAGAAAAGGGATAGCTATATAGTAAACTGTATATTAAACTATAGTGAACTATACAGTTATCCCTTTTCATTTGACATTTTTCCGCTCAACTTTTCTGTATTACATTTTCGCTCCAAACCATTCAATTGCAAAATGCCTCTCGCTTTTCCTGTCCCTCTTCCTTTCTCTCTATCCCACACATGAGACACACATGAGACATCTCTTTAGCACTCTTTGGCTCCTATCAAGCGGATGCATGCCGCTCGGCATGCGTCAATTTTGATTTGGCAAACTTATTGCACGAAAATAATATAATTTGAAGGCAAAGAGGAAATTAAATTCCAAAGTTAGGAAACCACAATACATATGGAAGTACTCTATTTGATCATGGAATTATTTGAATAATTTAATTTTGGATCGCTTTTTTCTCCATCTCCGTTCTCACCCTTTCGTCGCATTGTTGTTGTTGTCTAATTAAATATGCATGTGCCGAGAGTTCAATAAAGTGTGCGCTCGGGCGGTGTGCTGTGATGCCAATGTGTAACTTGACACAAACACACACAAAGTATGGTGCCTGCTGCCTGCTGCTGCTGCTGATGATGATGATGATGACGATGACGATGGTGATGATGAACGAGTAAGCTTTACCATGGCGGCTCGAGTGCATGTATCGAATGTAATCTAAACCAGATTAAAGGATTATGTGACGTATAATAAACAGTGAACAACGTCACATTATAGTGATACAACAAAAAGCCTAAACACTGGAGCAACAATGAAACGGAAGCCAATATAGATAAAAATAACAATTTAAACCTGAAGTTGTCGAGAGCATAGCTGAAGCAGTTGCCATTGTTTCAACCGGTCAAGTGTGTATTTATCGAATAGATTCTATGGTAGACACACACACACACACACACACACACACACACATTTATGCCAGCTAAAAACTATTATAATTATTCGTGCGTTTTCAATCGTCGCATGGTGAGCGAGACCCTTAACTAACTCACGTTGATGTTGGAAATGTCGAACAACTCGGACAGATTCAGGCACACGCAAGACCATTATGCATACATCGACTCAATCGATTAAACGTCGATATTATTGTGAACTTTACCAGTACGGTTATTATTCTAATAATCATATCAATTAATATTTTATTGTACCCTAGACGAAAATGGGCCGGCTATGACTATGGCTACGAAATCACATTTATGAATACGCATAATTGCATTTTATTTAGTCTCATTGAATTGTTGCAATGCTCCATCTCTCTCTCTCCATATCTCTCTCTCTCTCTCTCTCTCTCTCTTTCTCTCTCTCTACTTTGATAGCACGTTTTGGAAGTATATTGACGAGATTTTTTGAAGAGCAACAAAAGACCTGCACTTAAATCTGCATCGATCATCACACGGTGTGTGATTTGGGAATGAGCGACCATTTGAGCAGCTATCAAGCCAAGCCAAGCCAAGCCAAGCTACGCCATGACATCCCGCCCAGACGCTTTTATGTGTAATCAACGCAAGTAAATAAGTTAATTTCTTTTTTCCAATAAAACATTGAGAGCATGCATTAGTTCAATCGAAAGGAAAAATTTCAATTATACACGACATATTGGTGCCATTAACTGAAACGTAGGATGTTGTACATCAGGGAAATATGCGTCGCCTAAAATGAATGAATCCAGCATATAATTATATATTATTCAATAGGAAATTACGTCCAAATTGATATGCGTTGAATGCTGTGTTATTTCTCTTTCTTTCGTTGTGGCCCGTTCATTCATCCTAAGGCAAAAGCATTTCGTGTGACCCATGATGTGACTTTATGCCAAACAAATCCGATTGAATCGACCATATTCAACCCCTTATGTAAGCAAGACACATTCCATACAATCAATTTGGTCGAGAGGCTTCGAAAAAGCATGACATGAAATCGTGCATCTTAATAGCAGTGATTAATTTTCCTTTCACCTGTGTGAACATCTGTACTTTTGCCACACTAACACAAAAGTGTAAAAGGAACAAACAAAGAAAATAACCAAAGAAAAAACCGTTGAACGATACAATTACTCGAATTAAGCCCGACTTAATCGCGGCTTTTGTTCGTCTGAATTATAAATGAATCGTTTTGATCATAATTATTTACTTATTATCGTGATACCACTACTTTGCTGTGGCTATGGCTGTCATCGTCGTCGTTGTCGTCTTCATCTTCATCATCATCGTTATGCATACAATTTCTTAGCCAAAACCAACGGAATACAATCAAAATATATGAGTGTGCTCTCCCATTTTGGCATTCAGTGCACACACATGATATATTTGTCTTGATATGGTCGTTTATACGATGCAAATGCATTTAATTATTATTTTACAGTCATTGAAATTGCTTCAAAATACACACACACACACACACACACTCACACAATTTGCTGACGCAAGTGGTCAATAGATTCTTGTGTGTATGCTGATTGTGCTGCTGTTGCTGCAAGTAAGCCATTCAAATAAAATAATATGGTGGTAAATCGTTTAGCTTTTCATCCGTAAATCCCAATCAATTTCCACAACTGAAATTCCACAGTTGTGTCAATTCGATAAACCGCTTTCATTTTTACGGTGTTCTCACACATACACATACGCATACATATTCATTCTTTGTGAATTGCAACGAGCATTTAAGTCTCATCAATATGATTGGCTTCAGTCGATTGGCTCAAGATGCTTTTCGACCATTGTACCAAACACACTGCTGATGCAATGAGTTATTTGGTGTTCGGTTCGGTTCACTTTTATTCTTATGCACTTTGGATTCATGCTTTTGTTGCACGAACATAGCATATATATTTACTTTGTATTTGAAGTATTCAGCAGCATAAAACGAACGGAACTTGATAATTTCCTTTTGATTATGTCAAGAGTTGACCTTTGTTTTCATGTTTAGCTGACCATCATTGTCAGGATCAATATTTTTGATTGCGCTATTTTATATGGTCGAGCTTGTCTAAGAATGGGTAGCCTCTTCAAATAACAAAAGGTATTTGACTTAATTGTTGTTCGTCATCGTAAACATTCATCCATCCAACCGCCCACATACACACCCGAATGCACACATAAAATCGATACGAAAAGCACTTAAACATTATATCGTTTAAAAATGGAGAGAGAGAAAAAATGGGAGCAATTTTTCGGAAGTTTAATCCCATCGAATGTGCCATTGAAATCACATTGTCCGTATTAACACCACAACATGGTATAGAAAAGTTTTTTTCTTTAGTACGGGTCCCATAATGAATGGGTTTGCAACTTCACATGCAGTTTTAAGCGGAAAGAAAAGCAACCGTTGTTCTCTCTCTCTCTCTCTCTCTCTCTCTCTGTGTGTGTGTGTGTGTGTGCGCGCGTGGGTATAACAACGATATCCGAAGTAGCAATGAGGGAAAAGGTTTAGCATTTAAGTTAGAAAAAACATTCATCTAAAATGCCAACAGATTATTTTAGTGGATGAACATATTTTCTTTGATCCAATTCAATTCGATTCGACGCGTTGGTTCTTGCTTCCTTTTCTCCCAACTTTTTTTCTTTCCTTTCGTCTCACGATCTTGGAAAGCTACCGTAAAAAACACCATATGCTCAAACAATGTTAACTCAATAAAAACTCGTACTTGCAATCACAATTATTGAGATCGATTTCGCAAAAGTAAAACTCAATTCGAACCATGTGGTGAAGGCTATCGCTTTTATATGTTACTACTGAGAGAAAAAGAATGAGCGACGAAAAAAAAATTCCATTGCGTCTATGGCGACCACCATTTACACACACAGCTCTATATTCATTGTTATTAATTTGTTGTTGCCGTCTTTGTCGGAGTCGGAGTAGGAGTAGTAGTGCAATGAAATTTATGTGTAAAAGTGCTTACCTTTTGCATTGGTGTGCCCCAAAAATCGTTGAAAAATAGATTTCGCCATGGCGTATGAGGTCGTAAATCACGATTTTCTTTAATAGCACTTATGTCGTCGAACACAAAGTCACACTGGGTACTGTTGTAGTAACATGCGACACAAGTAAACGCTATTATTGCACCGAAAACATGTTGCAACGCCATTATTATGTGTTTCTGTTTCGTTTTCGTCGCGTTATGTTTTCTTTTTATTTTACTCTGAAGCACTTATATTTTCTCTCTCTTTGTCTCTTTCTCGATCGCAGTCGCTTTTCGCGTTCGGTTTCTCTTATCGCTCCCTTTCTCTCGCTTACTTCTTGTTTTTCGTTCCCTGTCTGCTCCTATTTATTTCGCTTTTTATTGTTCGAACGCGATGTGCTTCGAGCTGATGCTGCTGCTGCTGCTACTACGGCTATTTCTATTTGGATTACAAGTCTTAGAGATGTCTTAGATTGAATGATTCTATTGGAATGGTATTGCGTTCTTGTCGATGAACAAATACTCTCTCTCTCTCTCTCTCTCTCTCTCTCTCTCTCTCTCTCTATCTCTATCTCTCTTTATCTTTCTGGTCCTGTTTATTATTATTTTTGCTGATCTCTTGATTTTCTTGCTCAATTTCAGTTCTTGGTTCTTCAGTTGAGGGCGGGGGACAACGACTTGATTTTACAACCGACTGAATTTGTGTCGCTTTTTTGATTCAACTTTTTTCCTTTGCTTCTTCTCCTCTGGATTTACTTGAATTTTGCTACTTTGGCCATTTATTATACTAAACAGTAAACACATACACTTATTTTGCTAAAATATATTCGAAATGATTAATATAAACACATTTTGCCTTATATTTCTTTTTTTTCTTTTTGTATCGCTTCACAATTTCACTAAATATGAACCAATTTTTCTATATGTATATATATATATATTTTTTTTTTCTCTTTTTCTTCTTCTTATTCTTCTTTTTCGTGTATGTAAAAAAGAAACAACAAAACACATTCACGTGTAACACATTAATATATTTGTCGGAGAGAGCACATTAATTTCTCTTTCAACTATTTTTTTTTTCCCGTTAGTATATGTATATGTTATGTATGGTTGTTTGTGTGTGTGTGAGAGAGGAATGTACCTTTTTTCTCTTTTCGGCTTTCACTCTCTCGCGATTTTGCTTCTGGTTTCTTATGCTTACATTTCTAATATCCACATACAAATACACACATGCAAGAGTCGATTTTCGCAGGTTTGCCGTTCGTTCTGTGTTTTTTTTCTCTTTATTCTCTCACTCTCGTTTGCGTCTATTCCATTGCAATTTATTTGGACATGCAGTAACTCTATTGAATTTATGCGCTTACGTATTTACTTTTCTACGCTTTCGCTCTTTCGTCCGTTGGTATGTTTCTTCTCCACTATTTTTTTCGGCTAAATTTAATCGTTGAACTAAATTCTTGGGTGTGCGTTATTTCTCTCTATCGTATTATAACATTTCTTCTTCTTCTTTTTTTGCTTGTTTGTGGTGGTGTTGGTGGTCCCCGTGCTGATGCATACGCTATTTGCCTCCCATTTATAATAAATGCATTGCAACACTAACAACATGGGGCTGTCGAAATGAAATGTTTTTGTGAGTGTGTGTGTGTGTGTATGTTTTGGCCAGGGCAGAAAATGCAACACCGTATAATTGTTCAATTTTCTATTTTAAACACACAAACAATAAACATACAATGCGCTTTCCTTTAAGTTCGCTCCTTCGTTAGCTGCTCTCTTTCTCTTCCACACTCGGTCGCGCTGATCACCTCGCGCTCTTTTGCCCGGTTTGCTAAATGTTAAGCTTTCAGCTTAATGTTTAGTCATCGAAGCGAATCAAAACCGATGAACACCGAGCAGAGACAAAAAAAGACCAGAGGATAAATAAATAAAAGAAATGGATGCACATAAACCAAATCTCAAATTGAATGAATGAATGCACGCGCTACGTATACGTTTCGTTCGTAGTCCAATCAGGCCACTACTCTCTGTCTCTATACTAAATTATGCTTTTTTTGTTCGGTGGAATCGGGGCTGTTGTTTTGTGTTTATGTGATTGATTCTAGCATATTTACGCGTAGGACCATGTTCTATGTTGTTGTTGCTGCTGCTGCTGCTGCTGCTGCTGCTGTTATTGTTGTTTATCTCAGCCGCTTATGCCACCGTTTTCTATCTTTTCCGTCGCGCCACATACAATTTCCGATTGAACTTAATTTCGGTGTCTGTTTTGTGTTACGCCGCTACTTTTGAATGTAGTTGCACTCTTCCATGCTCGTTATTTTTTTCTCGTTCGCTAGTTCGTTCACTTGAGCGCCACCTCGCAACTGGTTCAAATGGGATTCAGCCGACTGAATCAAAGGTTTCATATTCGGTCGATGTCGGCAACTAAATAGACGGAAAATGGAGGAGGAAGAAAGAAAAATACAATGAAAAGAACCATGATTAAAATAAATGATGAGAAAATAACAAAAACATGGCGTATTATATTGAAGAGCAAGAAGAAGAAAAGAGAAGCGAAACGCAAACGGATATAGATATAGAGCGATCATTGCACAAAACTAACAATTCGCAATCAAGTTTTTAAAAGGAAAACATACAATGGCGAGAAAACAACCAAAAATTTCAATTTCACTCTTTGTTTTTCCCGTCTATCATTGCACATTTTCCAACCTTACATTCTATTTCTCCTCTGAATTGGCTGAATTGCCGCCTACATTTTCACTTCTATCCTCCTATCTCTCATTGCTTCCTCTCTCTCTCTCTCTCTCGTTTTGTCTCAGTGCGCAATTTTCATTGCTTTCGTTCGAATTGTTTTTTCTTCTTCTGACATTTCGGCGAAAACACATCGAATGGAATAGAGAGAAAAAGAGAGAGAAACTTACCAACAAACAATCTAAAAACTATGTTGCTGTTGAGGGTATTTTTGTTTTATTACAAATGGATATTTGCGACTAAAGCCCATTTTAATTGCTTGTTGTTCCCAATTGTGACACAGCCTAATCAGTATTCTAGTTTTCCATTTAAATTTTAATGTATGCAATCGAGTCGATTTATCATTGGAATCGAATGAAAGACAACGACGACAACGGCAAACAGTGGAATGGGTTGACGAGTGGCAGCAATTACTGTTGTTCGGTTGTTGCTCTCACTCTCTAATTCGAAAATTCAAAAACTTTTCAGTCTCTTTCTGTCCGTGTCTCTCTTTCGATTTTCCCGTGTCGTATTCCGACGTCTAAATGGAGTTTTGGCAGTCAATTGTAACCATCGATTCATATTATCGATTTTGTTTGAATGGCAAATCGATAAATAGCAGACAGATTACAATACAAGAACTTAAGGATCGTCCAATGACGATGTGAACAACAACAACAACAACAACAACAACAACAACAAAAAACACCAACAACAACACCTCCGACGATGATGACTTCGACAATGGTTTACACATTAAAAATGAACACGCTGGCATGGCTACAAACATTTATGCTTCACCGAAATCCAAAGTGGAGACGAAGACGAAAATTACCACATAAGCTTTTAAATTGAATTTTGTTGTAAGTACGTTGCATACAACAGCAATCCAGCGTAACATTGCCTCCGTCAAAACGACACAAACATACATTGTTGGAGACAGCACCATCGCCAATGACGCCAAGTTTCGTAAATTGAGTCTTAAAGCTTGATCAGCTTAAAATGACAACGATATTCCGCTGGTCGCTTGGTAATTATGTGCAAAATCGTATGACAGCAGCAACAACAGCTCAACATGAACAGCATACTTCAATATCCGGAGGTACTCTGTCACATGAGAATCGATCAAATTGAAAACGCAACGAATCGAATCCATTCAACGTAGGGTGATTCATTGGAAGAATGACAACCACCACCTCCAACCAAAGCAGATGGAAAATATATCGATAAAAGAGCGAAAATATTGCGTCTGCACTGTTGATCGAATTGATGAACAGAAAGAAAATGGAACGTTGCATATACCACTGACTGCGGCCAAACAAAAGAGAATGAGATGAAAGAAGAAGAAGAAGGCAAAAAAATCCCCAGCAGTGAACCTACTGAAGGAATAACAAACTTAGATAATCTGTAGCGTATTTTTGTAACGATGGTCGGTTTCATGTGGCTGGCCGACCATGTTGACGAGACCGGAGAAAACGGTTTTTCATTCTATTACCCCAAATGCTTATTTTTCATGTTTTGCTTTGCTTTGCTTTGCATTTTCCTTTTCGGTTCATTCTCATTGGTTTTTATTTTACCATCTATTCTATACGCTCTCTCTCTCTCTCTCACTCTCTCACTCTCTCTGTGAATATACCTATGTGTATTTTCCATTTTTGCATCGGTGTGTTGTTTGTTGTTCCTATGATTTTTGTCCTTTTACTACCACCGTCTATGCGAAAAGTATGGAAATCGAGAGAAAGAGAACGCGCGCGCACAAAGCGCACAAGAGGAACCGAGGGAGAGAGGGAGAAAACTGGCATTTGTTAGGCACATGCGAGAATATGCATAACTTGTAGCATTTTATTATGTCACTATAATCTATACCAATGTTTGCGTTTGTGATACACAAGCTCTCTGTATCTAGGATGCTTTGGTGTTTTGATGGCATTTTCCATTCTCTTGCGGTTTATTCCGTTCAGTTTTTCTTTTACCATTTCCTTCAATTTTGCCTCTCTCTTTCACACAACCTGCCTCTCGCTCTCTCTTCCTTGCCACACTGGTGCAAGCCCAGGGAAAAAAAGATTGCAAAAATGCGGTACAATCATAAAAATCCATATCATAACATTGTATATGTGTGTGTATGTGTATGTGTGTGTTTTTGAATGCAAGAAAGGAGCACGCGTTGCGTGTGCTATAGTCGGTGTTTATGATGTGACTTCGTCAAAATACGTTTATTTGTTTATGAACGTTTCACATTTTTTATGTGCTACATTTATTTCAAACAAAAAGTATCTTTGGACTAACGAGAGAATGGTTGAGGGAAAAACCATACCACACACAGGTAAAGATGGAAGTGAAGAAGCAGAAGTAAATGGCAAGTGTCATGGAGAGAATAAAAAGTTGTCTCGTTATTTGTAAAAATGTGAGCATACACATAAACCAGCACACACACACACACACACACACACGCAAAAAACAAGTCCGTAGAAAAGAAATGTGTTTGCACACTAAAGCATGAGCGTAAGGTAAATGCACTTATTTGTGAGAGAAATGTGTTTACAGCATACACAGAGCCACATATAATGTGTGTTTGCGTGTGTGTTCACATTCACCACTGCTGCCCTGCCTGAAGCTTTCGCTTCTCGTCCTGCTCGGCAAGGGTTTTTTCTTTGATTTTTATTTTTCTGTTTGCTTTTAGCGTCTAGCAACGTTTCACTAACCTTCGGCAAAAGAAGAGTTTTGTGGTTATGTGTACCGAAGGAAACGATTGGCGTTTAAGCTGTCGCCTCTTTCTCTCACCCTCTCTCTATTTTTCATTCTCCCTGACTCTCGGTTCGTTGTTCTGATGTTGCATTGTGCTATTTGCTTTCGTACAACTATAGTTTACTTGTGCGCTTATGGCGTTTTCATAATATATTCCTTTGGCTCGCAGCGGAAAGCGAGGTGAGTGCAAGCAATGGAGAGAAAGAGAGAGAGAGAGAGAGAGAGAGAGTGAAACTGAGAAAACAGCGAGAGCGTATGCTTCTCGATGTGGGTGGTGTCAGCATTCATCGTCTCTTGTAGTCATCGCATTTTCGACGATAGTGGCATTTTCAAGAAAATGCAACAAAAAGAGTTAAGCACTTTTGGTTCGCATTCTCAGCGCTCTTTCTCTCTCTTTCTCTATTAATTTTTCCTGCCTCTGTGTATGCTTTTGCTTTTCTTGGTGCAAATCAACCCGATTTTGTTTAAAACGAAAATTGTTGTTCCATCTGCCCACTTTTAATAGATTTGATATTGTGTTTTTTTTTCAGTTTTGGAACCACGTATGAAATTTGTCGACGTACAATTTCACCCCGAGCTATTTTGGTATGTCCCTTGTCTGTTCATCTTCTTTTTGTTTTTTTGTTTTTTTCAATGATAATAATTTGTAATAGAGATAAAAATAACGCATTCGCATTTCGCATAAGTAAAACTCAGCGGAGAGCAATGACGACAAAAAAGATATGGTTATTTTAGTTTCTTTTTCTGCTTTGCGTTTTTTCTCTGTTTGAGGCGGCTGCTCAGCTTTTATCAAGTTGTTGTTTTGTCTGTATGCTAAGACGCGGGTCGATTTTCGAGTGAATTTTCGTTCATGTCTCCTCTATAAATGCTTGCCATTTAATTTGCATGCTAAAACAATAATTGGGATAACATTTGAGACACAAATACCGAAAGAGAAAAAAAATGTGATAGTCATTTGGTTTTATTCACCCTCGATATTTCGAGTCAGTTTTGCTGCTGCTGCTGCTGCTGATGTCTCTCCATTGTCTACCCAAGTACTTCGAACGCGAAAGACATAAGGAGAAATAAAAGACTCACGTTTGGCAAATGCAACAACAAACCGAGAATACAATTGCAGAATGGGGAAAAAAAGCAGGCAACACGGGCACCAAGAATAATAGCCGTTGGAACATTACACGCAATCGAAATTTTATTAAATTTGAAAACCAAGTAACCAAACAAACCAACCAACCGACCGACCGACCGCTTGTCTAACGCTCAAATCGCAACACATACACAAAATCCGACAAGAAAAACAAACCCAAACTAAAAGCCTGTGAACGCAAGTGGAAACAAGGAATAAATAAGAAAAAGAAGAAGACAACAACAACGACGACGACGACGGCGGCGGAAAAAGAAAAAAAAAATGAAATTGCGAAGTTCTTTTCTCGTGTAATTTTGATGTCAGCAGTAGATAACATGCCGTACAGCTAAGTCAAACCCAGTACAAAGCACAAATAATTGAGCGATTACTGTCGCTATGTTTACGGATGGCATGTCGATGGGGAGGGAGAGAATTCGAGAAATCGGCAAAAGAATGAATGAAACCAAACCAAATGGGTGGCTGACAACCATTTTACTTAATCGAACTCTAGTCTCTTCCGTCTCTTCCGCTCTCTTTTCATTGTGTGTGCCTTTTGCAAATATACCAAATGCAACGATATATACGGTTTATATTTGCCGAATCGAAATTGCGTTTGTTTTTTTTTTTGCGACGATCACTAAAACTAAGTGAAATAAAATTAAACGAATGCCTGCGAAATGTTTGGAACAGAGGGGAATCAATTGAGTGCGATTATACTGTAAGCAAAAATGCAATAGAAAATGAAGACACTTTATTGGAACATTAAATCTAATGAAAAATGCTTATGGAATCGGAAAATCCACATACCGAGGTACATATACACACA